GAATTTTTTAAAAAAATCCTTTTATATGGGTTACCAAAAGATTCATGCATGTGTCAATGATTGCTGCCTATTTAGAAAGAAGTACAAGAAGCTCGAAAACTGTCCTAAATGAAAAGCTTCAAGATAGAAAACTAACATGCATGCTAGTGAAGTAAAGAAAGGTATTACGATACTTTCTGATAAACCCACGACTAAAGAGAATGTTTAGGTATGAGAAAATTGCTAAGGATTTAAGGTGGCATTTTAGTAATAAGAGCAACAATGGAAAACTTCGTCACCCAATAGATTCAGTCACATGAGATCAGATGAATGACAAATCCTCTTCATTTGCAGCTGAAGAAAAGAAACCGAAGCTTGAACTTTCCACAGATAGAATTAATCTATTCAGCATGAAGAATACCATGTATAATTGTTGGCTTGTTTTTTTAGTAAACTACAATGTATCACCTGATTTATGCATAAAGAAGGAGAACATCATGCTTACATTATTAATTCATGGTCCATAAAAGCCGGATATTAATAGTGTTGATCTCATAGAGAATCTAAGCCATACGTAGAACAATAGGGAGTTAACATATGACGTCTTTAGTAAATCAACTTTTACTCTTAAGGCAATGATGTTTTGGACGATTAGTGATTTTTCTGCGTATGGAAATCTTGGTGGCTGCAAAGTAAATGGTAAAATGAATTGTTCTTTATGTGGAAAAAATACATACAGTATGTGGTTGAAGTTCAGTAGAAAACATGTTTATATGTGCCATAGAAATGGTCTGCCACCAACACATAATTATAGGGAAAAGAAGTCATGCATGGTCGGATGGAAAAGCTGAACAAGAGAGAATGGGAAGAATATTAAGTGGTCAAAAAATTTCTCAAAACCTGAAGGAGAAGTTGGTTGTCTTTTGAGTTAGAGAAATTGAGGTATGTAATTAGTGTGATGCTTGTGCTTTGGTTTTACATCTGCTACTGATATCATAAATCTGATGTAAAGACATTGTTGCTCGTTGCAGGGGAATGAAGAAACTTTGGTCCATGTTAGCTAGTTTTAATTAAGTTTAAGACTAAGATAATCAATTTATGACTTGTGTTATGTATTTTGGATTCAGACTTGTGTTATGTATGATGAATGATTTTGTAGACTTTTGTTGTGTATGTTAGATTGGAATCAGATTTATGTGAAATGATTTTAATTTCTATATGTTCTTGTTTATACTATGCAATACATGGTGAAGTATATCAATAGATAACTCACTGAAAACACATAATAGCAAAAAAAAAAACAGTTTTATTCTTATATCATATCGACAAATATTTTTTTTAAAAGAGTGTATTATATATATATATATATATATATATAAACCGTGTATAACAATTATCAAAAACTGTTGTATCTGCTTATATTATAGCACTAAACATAAGACTACACAATTATATATTAATGTAATATAGAATTGTTATTGTAGAATGACCTATACTAACAAAAATGGAAGTGCTATATAAAAACAAATAAAAACGTTGAAATATTATAGCCTGAACTCATCGTAGCATACCAAAATAATGCTATCGTATGGATGACACCTACCATAACTGTCAATGTCATAACATTTATGATATCGCTATGTAATATGTATGATAGCATATTTTTCGCGCTAACAATGTACAAAGAAGAAAAAGTCATCGCTTAGAAAGGACGATCTCTCCGAAGAAATTTTAGGAGATATGATGAATTTTACGATAGACTCAGCAATGTTTATGAAGCGATTCTTGATGAACTTTTGGGAGCCGTGAACGAAGAACTCGCATATAGGAAGTACAATCTCAAATGCAAGATCTAGGGCGGTAACTCACCAGAGTTTTACTATGACTATCCTTTTGGAGACGATAACGACAAAGATGATCTTGATGAAGAGGTGAAATTAGATTTCTATGGAAATTTTTCTTGTTTTCTTATGAAAGAGTTGTGTTTTCGTGATATTTTAAGGTTTTGATTTTAGTTGCAAAACGCTGAACAGATCGACATACTTTTTATTTGGATTCGGCTACCCGAGAATTTTGGTTCGATTCGTGTCGAACCGATCGGTTTCTTAGATAACTGTTTTTTTTTAATAGCTGGATTATACCAAAATTAGACCAGTTTATAACAAAATATGATTGGTTTCTATCAATACCTGAATTTAACCAAACCAAATTACCCAGATTTAACCAAAATACCCATATTTAACTGATTAACTGAACTTAAAAAATCAAAATTCGGGTAATTCTTAAACTCAAAACAAAATTAACCGAGAACCAAACCAAAAATTTTTCGATTAATTTAACCCTCTAAAACTACTTTGGTTGACCGATAACTGAAAAAGCCGGCTTGTTTCGGTTCGATTAACCGAACTCGCATGCTTAGGAGCTAATGAGCTACACTATGTCAGATACTTAGTTACGATATAACTAGATCATCACCCGTACTAAAGTACGGGTTGAATTTTATTTATTACAAAATTTATATAATATATATATTAGAACTAAGTTTTAATATATTTTAATAGTAAGTGAAAAAATATTAATTTTTTTGTCAGTCCCTATATACAATATTAGAATAAATATAGAATTTTTTCTATAATAGTCAATTATGGATAATTTTTTTTTTAAGATATGAAAACGGAAAATAATTTTATTTTTTAAAAAGTAATATTTTTGAACAATGAGTTAATTTATGTTAACAACCACAAAATAGGATTGCATATATTTCAGTTTGATCAAAATTAAAATATCATAAATGAATCGCATATAAAATATAGATTATTTTGAATTAATTAAGAAAATTAGCTATTATTTTGAATTAATTTAGAAAATTATTTTTCAATTTATAATTCTTTGGTTGTTGAAATAGAGATTTGTTTGAGCTAATCTAATTACAGAATTTGTTTGAGATTTATAATTATGGAATTTACCAATTATTCGCATAATCGAATATGTTATAAACATATATTTAGTATATAATAATACCAAAATCAACCCGTGCGTGGAGTCTATATTTTTATTTTAGAATCTCAATATTTTATTTTAAAATATTGCGTGCACAATCTATTATTCGTTAATTCTAAAATTGCTTGCGGAATCAAATTTTCAAATATTTAGAAGTGTCAAACCATATTTAAATGTTCTACACTATTTTTAAATATTCCAAATTAAAATCTTTAAATTTTTTTTGTAGTTTATAAAATTATGAATTTCAAAAACAAATTATATGAAATTAAATATAACTATTCAAATAGTTATAAGGATCAAAACTCATTTCATCATATAATATATTATATTTAACCCGCTACCTATTATAAATATTTTTAAAAATAATCAAATTAGAGTATTTATAATTTTTAACTTTTTTAACTATTAAGTATTGATGATATTCTCTAAAAATATCAAGTAAAACTTATTTTAAATGTTGCAAATTAAAATATTTAAATTTTTATTGTAGTATATAAAATTATACATTTCGAAAAAATAAATGTATGAAATCGAATATAAATATTCAAATTCTGACCCGTTGCTCAGTCGGAATTTTTGTTGACTTTATTTTTGTGTAAAAAAAATATATTACTCAAGTCTGAATTTTTGACCCGTTTAATTGTTTCCTTTATAGATTGAACAATTTATATGCGTTTTAAAAAATTCAAATCTTGGCATATGCAGAATAAAATTTTTTTTTTTATTATTATGTAGATGATATGATGATTTATTTGTTTCATATTAATATAAGCATATAAAGATGAGAGGTGAAGTTTAATGATTAATAACAAATTAATATGGTAAGTTAGATATCAAATCTTATATGTTCATTTTGATTGGTCATTTAAAAAAAAAATAACAGATTTTCGTTTTATAATTTAATTAAATTAATTAAATGACATAAATTAGTATTTTACTTGTTTATCCTTAATAAATTGAATGAAATTTGTTCTAAAAGAAGATTTTTGTAATGGCATTCTTAAGTAAATTCTTACAAAAGGGAAGGTTAGTTAAGGGTATCTTATAAAGTGTACTCCCCAAATAATAGTATAGGATCTTTTCTTTACGGTTTTGAACTTTTGAATATCATGAATAGCTACATAAGAAATCATATACGACTGATAATATTTATAGAAATAACATTTTTTAATTGAAATGTTGTTTTATATATCAATGATAATAACTTTTATGCAAGAGGTTTGTCTTCCCCTCTTAAAGAGTCTCATCCTCGTACCAATTAACCAACCAACATAACTACTTATTATGTTGCCTCGAAGTTACTTTATTTTCAATAACATATTTTGATGCACTTCTGATATAATTAGCTAAACAATCATATATATATATATATATATATATATATATATATATCACTGAAGATAAAATTTGAAAAGAATCCAAATAATTGATTTTAAGATCCTAAGAGTTTGACTAGTAGTGATCTATTTTCCGGAAATGTGACTTGTATTTGAAATACTATGTCTTAGGATTTTTTTCCGTTAAATATTGAGAAAAATAATAATAGAAAACATTCGAAAAAGGCAAAAGCTAAGGTGGCTGGCTTGGCCATTGCACTTTTCACCAAACTTATTTATTAACTATGCCCCAACAATCAAATTAAATAAATACAGCAAATGAATAAAGCTACAAATGTACATTAAGATAAATTTCATTCTAAATTGTTAGTCTGTATCTTTTTATTAAATTATCAGTCTTTCCATTTAGCAAATCTTCAAAAATATATAAGTAATAACATTAATGATTTTAATTTTAATACTTACAACTTTTTTTTGAAAGCTTCTTTAAATTCCCCAAGAAAAGAAGAGAAAGAAGCGAATAAAACACACTTAATTATACATTGCATTTAAGATACAAACAGACACTTAAAGCATACAAATTACATATTCCAAATCCAAACCAAACCCAAACCCAAACCAAAACAAAATATCTCCCAGAGAACATCATTACTCCACTTTAAAAACACGTAGAAACAACAGATTAGGGAGATAATTTTGTTTACAACATAATCAAAAGCAAATTAATCACACCATTGCGTATTCCCAGTTTAACCTACAAAAAACCGAAGTTAAACCGGGTTGTACCACACATAAGAAAACAAACCACCATAAAACCGAACCGGACTTGGAGAAAAAAGTAGCGTTCTGTTTTCTAAAACGAACAGAACCACTCAGCTTTCTCTCAAGAGTGCCATGGTGGTGGCACTTTCGTAATTATGTCTTCATGTCTGTTTGTTGTTTAAGTGGATTCGTTGTTTTGTTCGGAGGTGTAGCCACTCCCTGGAGGAGTGGTGGTGGAGGAAGAAGAGCCACCACCACCACCTCCGGAGTTCCTCCCAAACGATCCACCGGCTTTCACCACGGAAACGATGGAATTGGCTAAGAAACCAAAGATCTCTCGCTTCACCTTTCCACGGCGAGGCGGTAGCTCAACGCTCTTCGCGGTGGAGGATTTGGTCGTCAGAGACTCCATAAATGTCAAGTTTCTCTGCAAAGAAAAAACATGAGTGTGTGTAAGAAGCAAATCTACAAATAAACTGAAATATAATGAAAACTTTATTGTAAAAACATAAATTGATCAGTGTGTAAGAATCAAATCTACATATAAAATGAGAATTAAGAAAATTATATGAATTTTAAAGGGTTCTTTAATTCAGAAAGAAAGGTACAGATAAGGCTAGTCTTGCTTCTTGTCAAAGCAAAACACAAATTTTCTATAAAAAAAAGGATTAGTAAAACTTTTTTGCTCAGAAGAGGAAAAAGAAAGTAGAAGGATAAGAAGAGAGATAGAGTCTAATTTATAGGCAAAGAAAGAGTGAAGATATCTCCAAAATCCAAATTAATTAATTGTTAAACATGATTAGGAATTGGTCTTCTGTTGAAAAATTGCTCAGAAATGTGGTAAGGTTCGGTGTTTAGGTGGGTCAATGGTTTCGAGTGTCTCATATTATATTTCATTAATATTGTATAATACCTAGTACTTTTGTCATGAATATTCAAGAATGCTTTAAGAAGGTTATGAATACGTGTGTGTGTGTGTGAATACTTTGGGTCAGGCACCTAAAAGTCACAAACAAGTTGAAGTAGAAGGTGAGTGATAAATGAAAGTTATGAAACAAAACAAAAAGGAATCATTTTATTTTAAATCCATTGCCAAACTCTAATGGAAACAAAAGAAAGTCTTCATCTTCAAACAAGATGTTAATTGAATTTTTCATGAATTAACGATAGAGTTGGTGCATTATATAGTATATATAGACTATTCCAATTAGAAACTCATGAACTTTAACAAATTAGTATAAGGGAGGATAACGTTTGAAATATTTAAGATCTAAGATGATCTTAAGTCTTCACTTCAATGTTATGAAAATTGCATCACCAAATAAAATTTAGTAACAATATTAAGTGTTTTTACAGATAATGTGACCTTATTTTAGTTTAGCTTTTGTTTTTTTTTCACAATTTAGTTTAGTTAGTTTCTAGATAAGATGAAGAAAGGAAAGTCTTGAGCAAGTTCGGCAGTTGACTTTGCTGGAGGAAAACATTTCTTTTGTTTTCTCTTACTATCGGGAAAAAGGTAGTATTTCGTAATTAGTTTAGGGAAAAATTTTATATGAGTAATTCGTAATTGGATTTCAACACGTTTTACTATTTAAAATGCATGTATCTTGTATCATGTGGCTGCGTCTGTTTTTTTTAGAAAATAAAACTTTGATTGTAATAGTCACTTAACTATGTTTATGTAATTATATTTTCTGATATTAATTTTCATTAGTTTGTTTTTGTGTATTATTTCATTGTTTGAAAAGTTTACCACGTAAGAGCAAACTTCTCTCAGCATAAATTGGTTGTATTAGCTATGTGTAATTTTCATCCAGATTTATCATTTTCTCAGCATCAAATTTTTTATAGATTTTTTTTTTAAAGAAAGCCAAAAATAAGCATTTCAATTCATATACTGAGTTTGACCAAACAAGCGACCAATTAAATTTTCTTAGCTTTTCTTACATCCCAAATTTGTTTTATCTCCATTCCGAATTTTTATCTACGTTATCGAATGAATGTTCTAGGAAATTCATTGTAGTTGTAAGTATTACTCTCATATAGCGAATAGATCAATAAAAGATAAGTGGACCAAAAAAATGTCCAAAAGACTTCATCCACCGTCCTTCTTGAATTGTTATGACCCCATCATAAATTAAAAGCTTATTGTTGTTCAAAAAAAAAAAAAAAAAAAAAGCTTATTATGAGTCTTTCATGACTTCCAATAATCATTAATTAGACCGTCCTTTCATTTATCACTAGCTCAGATTTTTGGATTGTACAGCTTAATGAGTTTCCTGAACTGTATACATTTTTATGTACCTAGAAGAACGATTAGTGAAATACATTCTTAAAACGTTCACAATGGCCAAAAAGAAACCATAAAGATTATGTAGATGATCTCTTATAACCATATGACTAATCTTCAACCTAGTAAAACAAACCACTGACCAACAAGCTCTTAGTTCTTTAATAGTTCCATTATTACTGAAAACAAACTCACTAATCACTATAGCTTCTCCAAACTCTTCCCCACCTATATCCAATGGTCATGATCCCCTTAGATTGATTATATTGTACTATCTCTTTCATTGTCTCCTGAGTTAGTTTTTAAATTTCACGCGTTTTTAATTTGATGTTTGGACTAAAACCTTTATAAAGAGTATCTTATTTATTTATATACTCAACAACCATTATTAAAATCTTTAAGTTTTTTGTCTATTCAACTTTATGTGGATTAATCCTGATATTAATATGTCCTGGGTTTATCAAATACAGAAATACTAATCCTGCACGTTATTGGTGGTTCCTCCACTTTTTCCACTCTCCTTCTTTTACATTGACCAAATGAGAAAATCTTAAAAGTTAAAGCTCATAAAACAAATATAAAGTACTCAAAAGCAAATTTAAACTAAATTAGCAAATATTACACTGCTTAGCTGGATCCAATGTTTTGAAAAAGACTTGGTGGGAATATTCTTATAAGTTAAAAAATAGTAATAGAAACAAAATCCACAACTTAATTCTTTATTTCTTTTGGCTTGTATCGACGTTTATTTGCTTTTTTTTTTTTTTTGTCAACAATGATCTCGACGTTTATTCCATTGTATATAAAACTTTTAAGATAGAGATCATTCTATCTGACCAAAACTTGTTCAATATTGCGTGCATAAATACAAGAAATATTTGAATTTGAGTTTATTTTTTTGAATGATTAAAAGGTTTTGGATTTAGATCCGTATATCTCTTCAGCCCAAAGATCAAAACATTTATATAGTTTTCCTTCTAAGTACCACTCAAACCGACGATTTTTTAGCTTTGCCTCAAAAAGAAAATTTACGAGTTGAATTATTGACACGTGGTAAAATATTTGAGTTTATATCGTTACTATTCAAACAAATTCCATTTACCATTTCAAATTTTCACCGGACACAAAATCTATCATATTGTAATTTTAAATATTATTTTAGCATATATATATATATAAAAAAATTTAATTACCTGTTAACCTCATCATGTCTAGAAACAAAAAAATCGATGAATTTGGTATTCTTTTTTATTTAAAAAAATTATTTATTTTAATAGCCAAAAGCCCAAAACCCAAAAGGCCCAAAACTAAAATCATGAATCTGGTCCGGGTCATGGATAATACAAAACGGACCAGGCCCAAATCAATTTAGCAAGCGAATTAAGGACTCTCAAAATGGCGGGAGAGAGAGAAAGCTTCTCTAATCTCTCCACCGTCTAAAGAATCTTCCCGGCGCCGGAGACGAAAAACCAAAAATGTCAAACAAACTCATCGGAGAAATGGGTCTTCACACCAAAATCTCAAACATCTTCGCCGCAAGAAACATCATCACCGCCAAGGTTTTACTCAATCAACCCATCCTTTTTTTTATTTTCCGATGAGAGATTCTTAGGTTTATGATTATCAAATTGAAACTGTTGTGATGATCAGGATGCATTATCAATGACAGAGTTTGAACTAATGGAGCTATTAGATGTTGGAATGAAAGAGATAAGATTAGCAATTACATTGATTAGTGAAGCTACTTCTCCACCATGTCAATCAGTAAGCTCTCTTTTGTTGTTACATATGATGGATATGTTTGTGTGATCTTTAATCTAATGTTGATGTTTACAAGGCGAGATCTTTGTTGGAGAAGAAGGTCGAAAACGAACATTTATTAGGTCATCTTCCTACACATTTGAAGGGGTTAGATGAAACTTTGTGCGGTGGTATACCGTTTGGTGTTCTTACTGAGTTAGTTGGTCCACCTGGTATTGGTAAATCACAGGTTAGTTTCTTCGGAGATTGAAGATTTCGTAATTCTAGTGTCGAATTAGTATCGCGTTGTTGTATAGTTAAGTTGAAAGTTGTTACCTTTGGTGTGTTTGCATACGGTAAAAGGTTCTCTCTACTATGCAGTTTTGCATGAAGCTTGCCTTATCAGCCTCGTTTCCAGTAGCTTACGGAGGATTAGATGGTCGTGTGATATACATAGATGTGGAATCCAAGTTTAGTTCAAGAAGGTAAACTGATTTTTCGTTTTCCAGCATGGTTTAATTTTGTGTACAAATACTCAGAGAATGTATCTTTCAGGGTGATAGAGATGGGATTGAAAAGCTTCCCTGAAGTGTTTCACCTTAAAGGAATGGCACAAGAGGTTTTGTGTGGAACAGCTATATGGTTTATTCTTTGTGTCTATGTCTTTGGTTAAGTCTTTTATATTCCAGATTGCTTACATAACCATTTGCTGTGCAGATGGCTGGAAGAATCCTTGTTTTGCGGCCAACATCTTTAGCTAACTTTACTGAAAGGTCCGTAAGATTTCACTCAGTGTTTTGTTATTGTTGGCTTGTAGGACATATTGGATGACTATAACATTGTCAGTTTTACTTGGTAACTAATAAGAGCTTGCTCTCAACTTCAGTTACTGGCAATTGAATTACTTATCAAATTCGGTCTATGAGTTGAGAAATTTTGAATGTACAGCTAAGAACTATTATCATACTGCGGTAGTTCAATTTTCTTCTTCTTTCTAATTGGCAGTATACAAGAACTCAAGGATTCAATTCTTCAAAACCAAGTAAAGCTTCTAGTGATTGATAGTATGACAGCTCTTCTTTCAGGGTTAGTCTAATTTCTGTTTCCTACTGATCATTTTCTTGGAATTCTTGTTTCCTTGGTGACCTTAGTAAACAAGGTATATTGTTTCATTTTTTGTTCTTTTGATCAAGTGATTGATTTTCAGTGAAAACAAACCAGGAGCTCAGAGACAGCCTCAGTTGGGTTGGCATATTTCTTTCTTAAAGTATGAACGTTAGTCTCATGTCAGCTCAAAGCTTGTAACTTATCTTCACATCAGCTCTTCATCTGTAGAATGATTGACATTGATTCTCTGACACTTGTAGATCGCTTGCTGAATTTTCACGGATTCCTATAGTAGTGACTAATCAAGTTAGATCTCAAAACCGCGATGAAACTAGTCAGTATTCTTTCCAAGGTACAATAAACAGAAACTGAAGTATCTTTTTTGTTGTTTTGTGATCCTTGTTAATTCTCATTCACCACAATCATATATTTCCTTGGCAACAGCTAAACTATTACAAGAACACACAAAGACATATGATTCTCACCTTGTTGCTGCGTTGGGGATTAACTGGGCTCATGCTGTAACGATCCGGCTGGTTCTTGAAGCCAAGTCAGGCAAGATTTAACCAATTTCATGCAAGGTCTCCGTAACTACCAAGAATGTTCGTTCATATGATTGGCTTTATGCTTTCTGCAGGTCAGAGAATCATTAAGGTGGCAAAATCTCCTATGTCCCCTCCTTTAGCCTTCCCGTTCCATATAACTTCAGCTGGAATTTCATTGTTGAGCGACAACGGGACTGAACTCAAAGGACCAGGAATCAATACCATTCATGCTCGAGGTATAATTGATCCTGATTATGTCGCTCCATGTCCTACGAACTTTATTAATGATCACATTTTAGCATGAATCCAACTTGCACTGATAAAGAGGATCTGCTTAAACAAGTCATAAGCCCACTGATGCATTTTGTTGATAATATTTTGAGTAACACTAATGATGAGGAGAATGCAGGGCACAGCGACATGATTAATTTTCACGGGGACTGCTCGTAGTGAAGCAAAGGCGGCCTGTTACGATAATCAACCAGAAACACCAACATCAACTTCCAAATTCTGCATATAAGCACAATAGTAAGTCATAAGTAGGAAAGACTAATAGTTAGACATTGATATATAGGCTTCCATGTTACCGATGAAACGAATGATTAGCGATTTAAGTCTCACAATTGGTATATTCATTATATGTTTGGTAAGTTAGATCTATGCACTCTATATAACTTCTTTGCTTTTTTGGTAAATGGTTTGTTTGTTTGTTTGTGTGTTCTCATATGAAGAAAATGTTCTTGGTCTCTTGTCAAGTCAAAAATTAAATTTTCTTTATTAGTGACAAGAAAAGACTTGATAAAGAGGACGTCAAGGTTTATCATTTTTTATCTTCGTTCCCACTTTTATTATATTCCACTGGTCGACTCAATTTTATGGGAATCATCTTCTGAAAAAATGAATCATCAAATGTGTCATCTAGTCACTTCTAGTATAGGAATCGGTGAAAGTAGCACCCCCAATTTAAAATTTAATCTGGTCCATAACACCTCTAATTTTTAATTTAACATGTAACTTTTTTTTTTTTTTTTTTTTTTTTTTTTTTGATAAGAATGTAAATATTTCATTAAAAATTAAAAATTGTTTAGAAGTATAATCAAGAGACTATAAATCTATACAAATGGTCCCATGGCAAAAAAAAAGTAACTTATTTCGTGTTTCTTTATTTCTTTTTTTTATTTTTACGACTTAACTTCCGATGACAAAAGAAAGGTTCGGCAATAATGTATACATTGTCACAGTATGGGCTCGGAGAAGTCGAAAATGGCAATTAAGATTTAGAAATTTGGGGTCAAAGTTAAAATTTTGTGACTAAAATTTGTTAGGTTTGATAAAAAATTTAAGATGGTTATTATGATTTAAAGTTGTTGAGGTTAGGAATTGGATTTCATGATTTGGGGTTTAAGGCCATGAATGGATGCTGTTTTTGAATTTGGTTTCTGGATTTTGTTTTTAGTTTTTAGATTTTAGATTTTATAATTAGATTTTTGTTTTAGAAATCCCAAAATTTGAAAAACTTGATTGGTGTGAAATGAGTTTTTGAAAACCAAAAACTAAAAACTCTTTCAAAAACTACGAAACATTCAAAACCTAAATATAATAATGGAAAAAAAAAAGCAAATACTTGTCAAGTTAACTTTAAAAAACTTGACTTGTCAAAGTTTTAAGAAATTTGTAAAAAATTTGAAAATACATATTAAATTTTTTGAAAAATGTGCTAACATAGATATGTTGATGTAATGATGTGAAACTAAGCTAACTCATTAAGTGCCTATCAACTCAAAATGTAAGAATACGACTTACAAGGTTAGAAATTAGCCTTACAAAGTTTTAACTCTTTCCTTTAATTAACCCTCAAATTTGGATTGGATCTTTCAGATAGTGGCATCATCAGTAGGCAAGAGCTTTAAATGCCAAGTCTTCTCTACACGTCAACTCGTAAAGTATCAACATTAAGGTAGCTTGATTAATGATAGGATTACATTTTTCATTTAAGCAAAATTTGGTGTAATCAATAAAGAAAGTCAAATAGATTTATTTGTTTAATTCTTTTATATATATTGGAAAAACCTCATGTCAACATCATATTTCTTATAGACAGTTGTTGTTGGGTACAAACCAACGTCCCACATCGGAAGTTTAGAAAAGAAGTTTCTAATATATAAGTAAAGTCCAACTCCAATAAGTATGAGGCCTTTTGGGAAGGAGCCCAATAACAAATCCGTGCGGGCTTGAGCATATAGCCCCAAAGCGGACAATATCATACTAATGGAGTTGGAATGGGCTTAGAAAAACCCAATAAATGGTATCAGAGCCTAGGTTGAAAAATGTGGACCTAGGGGTGTGGGCTAAAGTTCGGTGTGGGAGAAGCCCTCAAATGTGACACGATAAGAAGGTGCCTCAAGAACTTCGCGAATAAGAAGGTGCCGAGTTAGGGTGCCAAGGTTTCGCTGAAGAGGAGGCCCAATGTTCGTGGTCCTTGGTTTGAAGGGGAGATTGTTGGGTACAAACCAACGTCCCACATCGGAAGTTTATAAAAGAAGTTTCTAATATATAAGTAAAGTCCAACTCCAATTAGTATGAGGCCTTTTGGGAAGGAGCCCAATAACAAATCCGTGCGGGCTTGAGCATATAGCCCCAAAGCGGACAATATCATACTAATGGAGAGTTGGAATGGGCTTAGGAAAGCCCAATAGTTGTCGGGTTCATCTCTTCTTAAATCTAATTAACTAAATTCATTAACAAAAAAAAAAAAAAATCTGGTTCTAAAGAGTATGATATTTTAATTAAACCGGATAATCATAATTAATTCAAGGGTGGCATCATATTCCATGCCCCATGATTATTATATTAATCTATCTTTTATCGTTATTTTAGTTTAAGAAGCCACTAGAAAACTTCATGGGTACTAAATATACTAAATTGGATACGTTTTTTAATTGATAGCATCCACTGCATTTGGATTTGATGAACCAATAATCTTATTCAATTCGTATCTTACATATAATATTAGAAACATCTACACAAATGTATATAATAGATTCATGCATATAATGTTGTTGGAGGCAATGAATTGATTTGATAATAATGCTTGTGACGTTAACATGTTTTGGTGTGAACCAATAATCATATAGATCTTTACATAACATACAATTTTTTACTCCATATCTAATATTTTTATCTTTCAATAGAAAGAGAGATATTATTCTCGTTTCTGTAATTTATCTATGTATGCATGTGCCTTCAGACCCACTTTGGGAATTGTTTTGAAGATAAGCAAACTTATATTTTGATTACTTGAGTGATTTCAGAGCGAGTTAAAATGATTCAAACGAATTATTATTATTTTATTTTTCAGAGTGATATTTTTTTGTCGTTTTTCATAGTGATTTAAGAAATTATTCAAACGAATCACGTTCTTTATGATTATTATTATTAAGTCATGATGGTCGCTTGGCATTTTATGTATATAATTCATGTAACAAGAGGATGAAAAGAGATACAAATTGATAATTCTGAAAGAGTAACGATTAATGTATTTAGTTTTTGGCTCATATATATTATCAATATTTGGGATGGAATATTGAATATTTTACATAATTTTGAAGCGTAAAAGATTGAGGTGTATTTGATAAACATCTTTCGTTGAAATTGTGTCGATTAGATAGAAACACGTTTGATCTCGATTTTATATTCCCAAAAAATAACAAAAGCAAAAACATTACGTACGCTCCAAACCTTTTCTATACGAGAAAAATCTGCTAGCTATATAATGATCGTGAATCACATGATTTTCTTCCAGCTATTATTCTAATTTTTAATTAAAATTTTCAAAGCTAAAGTAATATATATATATAAGAGTTATATTGATCCATATTTTTTTTACAAAAACAATTACACCATTTTGTTAAACCAGATAATCCAATATTTAACAAGAGAAAATAAACTTTTAACTAGTACCAAATTATTTTAAAACCAAGTTGCACTATCGATAGAAAAGTATCTGATCCATAACTTGGTTTATGGTTCTACATGTTCAATCTAACTCATAATTTATTTCTATACCCAAAATAAATTTAATTAGTTTTACGTTTTATATAAGTCTTAATTCTCGAGTTTAAATTATTCATATACATCATTAATCTTTGGTGAAGAAGACTCAAGCATGTGTGTCAAAAGGTTGTTTTTCTTAGAACAAAAAAAGACAGACTGTCTTTTTTTTTGGTTGCTGCAAAACAAAAGTTCATTACCAAAAAAAAAAAGGTTGTAAGAAAACAAAAAGAAATGAACGGTCAGGATACGACCACGTTAACCCATAGAGATATCAAAACCTCGTACAGACGTACACTATTCTTGCCGACAAGAGATTCTCACCATTAATGGAAACACTGCTTTTGTACTTGGCTAAATTATTATAAAGAAGTTTACTTATTTTGTCCAATCTTTTGTATTCATTCATGTTGGATGCTGTGCACTACAAACCCTCCACATAACTTAATATATTCTATTCTCAAAAGATATCCATATGCTCTTTTTTATATCAATTGCGTAATGGTCCCTTGTTTCTTCGTTGGTTTAACATGATTTTGAAAGTTCGTTTGATATATATGTTAACAATACTATATTATAGTGTATTATTGTAAGGTCCTCCACTGCTTTTTACAATTTTTTGTTTGCACTTAGTTTGTCGTTACCCAAATCAACAATGATCCGGTATTTGAAAAGTTTAAGAAAATTGTCGACATCAATTATACATCTTCTTTCTGTAGTATTGACATTATAGAAAAGAAAAAAGAAATTGTTTCATAAACAAAAATATTCTGTAAATATCAGTATTATTTAGAGTAAATGCATATTAATATTTAAGAGCCTACACTCTCAAATGCTCATAGATTTTCGCATACATCTATGACAAACATTTCTATATCGGTAAACGAATTGAAGATCGTATATCTCTCAAATGTTTGGAAGTGTTGAGGGAAGAAATGTTCAAGTATGGAATGAAACTGTTACAGAAAAATATGCCCATTCTAAAGCAAATCTCATAGTTGTAACTTTGTTTCATATTCACGCAAAATTGGAAGCACATTGACGTGGTGATGAAAAATATTTTAGAGCGCATATTGCTTTGTCAAATCTTCAAGACTGACTATTTTGAATTGATCACCATGCTAATTGTTCCTTCAAAATAGTCTACCTTGATTAGTTGTTCTTGGTTCGAGACAAAAAAAATTTCTTAAATTTTTATACTCCAAACATTTAGGTCATTCATTTGTGAGTTCTTTTCTTCCGACTTGGACAACAACTTCAGGTTTTTAATACATTGTGCGGTTGAGCAAATAATTGAAACTAAATTAACTCAGTTTTTATAAAAAAAATGAGAACATAAATTGAAAAAAAACAATTGCATGCTTGTTCAACATACAATTATAAATCATTTGGTTTGTTCAATCAGTTCTGAAACCTTTAACTTCTAAGTTCTAACCATATATATC